GAGGAAGGTGGCATGGGAATGGGAAGTGTAGGAGCGTGTGGGTCTGATAGTGGTGGCACGTGGGTCGACGGGGGAGTGGGAGTAGCAGGAGGAGGTGGTGAGTGCCGTAGTGGGGAGAGGGGAGTAGTGAAGGGGCAATGTAGAGCTGTTTTGGGGGGGTAGGCGGGTAGAGGGAGGCGATTTTTGGGATGGTGGAGAGGAAAATGAGGAGGAGTGCAGGAGGCATGTTGGGGTGGGTGCGGTGACAGTTGGGTCAGGGGAGGTGAAGGGATACAGGTCAGGGCAAGGGTGTGTGGGGAATCTGTGTTACCATGGGAGAGTCATTTGAGTCCTTCTGTAGGGGTAGAGTGAGGGTGGAGGGCGGCAGCTGGTTGGCAGCAGTCTGTGGGGGGCAGCCAGCAAAATGCCTCACCGTTCCGGGTGGACGCTATATGGCGTCCTCCCAGGCATGCGCAGTTTGCGAGCCTGCAGAGCCACGCAGCAGGGCAATCTGTCACCGGCCGTGTACCTCGGACACGGCCGATGACAGTTCTGAGTACCGACCCCGTTGCTGGAACCATGTGACCTGCTGTGATCAATCACAGCAGGTCACATGACAGTTGTATACAATGGATGGCTTCATTCATGCCATCCATTGTATACTAGTGTGTCTAGCTGTGAATGGTCACAGCGATCACATGCACAAGCTGGGCCAATCACAGCCCAGCTGTGTCATGTGATTAGCCGTGGCCAAATCACAGCTAAGCACAAAAAAAAAAAAAAACCCTGAATGAATCAATGTCATTCAGGTAAATGCTTGCTTATAGCAAAGTAATTCTTTGCTATAAGCAAATTGTGTAAAAAAAAAAAAAAAATACTGATCACTTCCCCAAAGTAGTACAATGTTACTATGGTAACATTGTACTACTTTGGTCATAGTGAAATCTGAAAAACAATCTAAAAAAAGAGAAAAAAAAAATTTAAAAAATGATATATTTTTTTTTCATACTGTCACCAGTCAGTGTCCCTGATCAACGCCATGCCAGTTATATGATGATGCTGTACTTGACTGGTGACAATATGTAAAAAAAAAAAAATAGTGAAAATAATTTTTTTAATTTTTTAATTTTCCGAAAAGTTATGACAAAAAAATACAACTTCAAAAAACTCGCCATGCCTCTTCTGAAGTACGTCGGACTGTCTACTTTGCAAAAAAGGGTCATTTGGGGGATATTTGTACTGTTCTGACATTCTTGGACCTTGGAAATAAGATTGGCCGTCAGTACTTCAGGATTGATCAATATTCAGATCTATACCATAGCTTGTGAACTCTATAACTTTCCTACAAACTAAAAAATACATCCTAATTTGGGTTATTTTCACCAAAGACATGTAGCAGAATACATCTTGGCCTAAATGTATGAAAACAATGATTTATTTGCAAACTTTTATAACAGAAACAAAGAAAAACGTGGGTTTTTTCAACATTTTCGGTCTTTTTTTGTTAATTTAGCAAAAAATAAAAACCCTGGTGGTGATTAAATACCACCAAAAGAAAGCTCTAGTTGTGTGAAGAAAATGATAAAATTTGAGTTTGGGTACAATGTTGTATGACCGCGCAATTTTCATTCAAAGTGTGAGAGCGCTGAAACCTGAAAACTGGCCTGGGCAGGGAGGGGGTAAAAGAGCCCGGTATTGAAATGGTTAAGGAGTTCAATAATCATCACTCAGCAACTAATGCCCCGTACACACAATAAGCAAATCATACAAAAATGTTCGTGGAACCACTGATCGAACAATTTTCTCTTCGTTGATGAGCAGGATGTTTTAACTAATAACAATGTTGTGAACGAAAAAATCAGACCAATTTTCCATGCAGTGGTTTTACGTATTAAAAAAAAAACTATCAAGCGCTAACATGCATGAGCGGAAACAGAATATGACCCGGATGTTTATGTCCAAGGAATCTTTGTAAATACGAACGAAAAATCCAAATGTTAAAAGTAGATTGACCTAATGAGATAATGAAACCAGAATTATGCATATTATATTTTATGTATCACTATTTGTGTATATTGTTAATGTAATAAACTATATTATACTCATTGCTGTTAATTGTTGTGTGTATCGCTCGTTCTGGCCGGATGGGCATGGAACACTCATTCTGGCCTGAAGGGCGTGGCTACAAGGTCACTTCCACTTGTATGGAAGATGTCAACACTACGTATTGCCTGACTAACTATTTTTTTTAATTGGTTAATATGGGCCATGATTTCGAACGCCTCTTGGTTGTCGGATGACCTATCGGTCCATTTTCTAATCGTGTTTTCCCACCTTTAGTCTAGCAGACAGCATTTGGATTCTCAGTATTTAGCTGTATGCATTCTGAATACACTGTTGATGGTGAGATAAACTTGAAGAGCAGCTTAACTGAATTATTATCTAAGATTTTAAACTTTTGGGTGCATCCTAGACCAGATGTTCCAATAGGCAGAATAGGCTTGCACCTTGAGGCACCAATACTGCAGAAGTTACTGAGCTTCCCACATCTGTGCACTGTTTTCTTGACCCAGTAACACAAATATCTGTCAACATTAATGCTTCTTCTATTCCTAGAATGCTTCCCACCCCACCCCACTACAAACATCACAGCTTCTTCTATCCCTAGAATTCTTTTCACCAAATCCTACTGCCTTGTACTGCCTACTGTAGCAGCAGTCTCACAGTCACAGGGAGGTGACCAACAGATCCAACAACTGAGCAAATTTTAATCAGTTCATTAAAAAATGTCCACAAATCAGTGTAAGGCCAGTTTTAGTGACATAGGCACCTGCAGGAGGGAGATTAAATCTTAAAAGATCAAAAGATCTAAGGCTACATTCACATTATAGTATTTCATGAATGTGCACAATATCACACCATGAATATGTATGATTTCAATGGGCTGCCCAACGCATGACAAACACTGAACTCTCAGCCTGTGATTGGACAGTTAAGGAAAAGCAGCAAACTGATGAGCTCAATTCTCTCTCTGCTCTCTACTGCTATCAGCATGTTCACAGTTAGCGCATGAGCATTTTCTGCACAACCTGATTGCTTCATTGTGCTTTGTCTCCCTCTCCCCAATCTGTGCTTTGTTGTGCAGGGGCTTGCAAAAGTCAAGTCAAATGCAGATACTCCCACTGCTTTAAAAAATACATTTACTGATGTTTTAGGCCCTGTTCACACCTGGGCATTGGCAATCATGAGCAGAATCGCTGCAATTCTGCCTGCGATCCCAAAATGCTCTGCAAAACTGACAAGTCGCACCACGTTTGTTCAGGTGCCATTCATTTTCCATGGCACCTAAACTCCGGTGTGGTTCTACCTCGACTGTCGTACAATAAATGCAAGCATGGCAAACCACATCACATGAAGCTTGTCTCTGAAAAGAAACTCCTGCTCCTTTTTGAGCGACAAGTTTCTCACAACTGGCTGCGATTGCTGTGTGATTTATTGCACAACAATAATGGCAGAATCGCACCAGCATTTAGGTACCATTGAAAAGAAATGGCACCTGGACAAGTGGGGTGCAATTTCTCAGTTTTGCAGAGTGTTTGGGCATCATGGGTAGAATTGAGGTTATTCTGCCCGCAAATGGCCAGGTGCAAACAGGGCCTTAAAGAACATGAAGCTGCATGAATGTGCCTGGATTTCAACATTGAGGTATCTGTTTTTTGTGGCTATAAACTTTTAAGCTATAAATGCAGGCATGGGTGTATTTACTGTTGTAATTCGTAATTCAATTTATTTAGCTTGGTCAAAATCAAATCATTCTAGTTGTTCTGTTGTGATTTATGTGCCTGTTAACTTTAACTTTACTTTTTCTAACAATAATGTTGCTACTAATGTTGATCCCTCTAAAGGCTTCTGTTACTGACAGATGTGACAATAGTACACATATTCTAATGTGTCTCCTATTCCCAGCATTATGCCTCAAAGTACTCTTTTAAAAAACACCCTGTCACAGACTAAAAAAATTGCATGTATAATCATGAAAAAATCAAGTATTTCAAATGCTTTCAAGTATTTCAAATGCTTGCTATTGGATATAATGGTTCCTTATCAGAAATGTCTATATCTGGGCAAATCAACATTCCTTTTACAGTACACAATATACATTTGTATTCATATTTATCTTTACACATGTATAACAAGCATTTAAAATCACTTAAAATAAAGCCTGTGGGACAAGTTGATAATTGGCAAACTGAACCTTTTTAATTTTTTTGAAACAGCTTATATAGTTACTGTTCATAAATTGCTACTTCGCATTAATCATTCCACAACCAAAGTTAATTCAGAATTCCATGCAACCAAACAACCACCTTTAACCAATTACTGATAACGCACAGAAATTTTATTGTGGGTTGGCAGCATGTACAGGCACAATCACCTAATGTTGTTATGAATGAATCCAACTCAGAACAGCTCTGCTTCCTATACTAGTGAGCTGCGATTGGCACACAGCTATCACATGGTACCTGGACCAATCACAGCACCCTGTACCATGCAATTACCTGTAGCCAGTCACAGATCACTAGTAATCACAGCTGGCATGAATGAAACTCATTCATGATAGTTCAAAGCATTGCTGCTGATCATCATTGTAACAGCGATCAAAGTTTAAAAAAAAAAGAAAAAAAAATCCCCGATCATCCCCCAGAGTAGTATGGTGTTATTAGATGATACTGAACCACTCTGATGAAAAGTATGTACCATATTGTTCGCTCCATAAGACGCACCTGACCATAAGATGCACCTAGGTTTTAGAGGCAGAAAACAAGAAAAAAAAATATTCTGAACCAGTGGACTGCAGACATAGTAAAGGAGATGACCAGAGACTGCAGACATAGTACAGGAGATGACCAGAGACACTGCAGACATAGTACAGGAGATGACAAGAGACTGCGGATATAGTACAAGAAATGACCAGAGACTGCGGACACAGTACAGGAGATGACCAGAGACTGCAGACATAGTACAGGAGATGACAAGAGACTGCAGACATAGTACAGGAGATGACCAGAGACTGCAGACATAGTACAGGAGATGACAAGAGACTGCGGATATAGTACAAGAAATGACCAGAGACTGCGGACACAGTACAGGAGATGACCAGAGACTGCGGACACAGTACAGGAGATGACCAGAGACTGCGGACAATACAGGAGATGACCCGAGACTGCAGACAGTATAGGGGATGACCAAGAGACTGCGGACAGTATAGGGGATGACAAGAGACTGCGGATAGTACAAGACCAGAGATGACCAGAGACTGCGGACAGTACAGGGGATGGCCAGAGACTGCGGACAGTGCAGGGGATGACCAGAGACTGCGGACAGTGCAGGGGATGACCAGAGACTGCAGACAGTGCAGGGGATGACCAGAGACTGTAGACAGTGCAGGGGATGGCCAGAGACTGTAGACAGTGCAGGGGATGACCAGAGACTGTAGACAGTGCAGGGGATGACCAAGAGACTGCGGACAGTACAGGAGATGACCAGAGACTGCGGACACAGTACAGAAGATGACCAGAGACTGCGGACATAGTACAAGAGATGACCAGAGACTGCGGACAGTACATGACATGACCAGAGACTGCGGACACAGTACAGGAGATGACCAGAGACTGCGGACAGTACAGGGGATGACCAGAGACTGCGGACAGTACAGGAGATGACACAGAGACTGCAGACAGTACAGGGATGACTGCTGACCTTTGGGGGAGGGGAAGCGGGTACCTGAATTTGACAGGTACCCGCTCCCACTTCCGCAGAGTTGTCCTCCCTTTAGTGTTGGCACCCGGCTGACGGATGGGTGCCCAGTGCGCATGCGCGAGAAGCACTGCGCTTTGTGATTGGTCAGGTGTCTCCTTGGACCTGTCATGTGTCCCAGAAGACGCGTACCATTCACAAAGCACAGCGCTACTCGCACATGTGCACTGGGCACCCGGCTGTCAAGCCAAGAGCCCACACTAAAGAAGCCAGCGTGGGAAGACTGTGCAGCTCTGGACCGAGGAACAGGTAAGGTCCTGCTGCACAGCTGAGCAGCCGGCCCAGTATTCTGACACGGCGGCGATGGAAATACCTGATCGGCCGCTCCATATTTGCTCCATAAGACGCACTGACATTTTCCCCCCTTTTTTGGGGGAAAAAAGTGTGTCTTATGGAGGGAAAAATACTGTATGTAAAAAAATAGTAAAAAAATAGTAAAAAAATGAATATTCAAAAAATATTATTATTAATACATAACAAATATTATTAGTTAAAATAGTTTTTTGTTTGTGTTTACATACTGTCACAAATCAGTGTCACTGATCACCACCACAATGGTCATATCATGATGCTGTACTGAGCTGCTGACAGTATCTAAAAAAAATTGGGGAAAAACACATTTTATTTAATTTCTTAATTTTCCCAAAAAGTGTGACCAAAAATTGTAACTTTCAAAATACTCACCATGCCTCTTACTAAATACCTCAGACTATCTACTTTCCAAAAAGAGGTTATTTTGGGGGTATTTTGTACTGTCCTGGCATTTTAAGGGTCTCAAGAAATGAGATCAGTACATAAGAATAGATCAAATTTCCAACACATATGAATCGAAGTATCCGAAGTGGAATTCGAGTCGAATATCTGAAAAATTTCGATTCGTGCCGAATCCGAAAAATAGCCTAATTCGGACGCGCGAATCGAAATTTTTCAGAAAATGGCGGCTGACATGTGCGGCGACGGAGCGGGGATGTCTGGGAAGGCGCGCAGACAAGGCGCGCTGACCCATAATGCATGCCTCAACTACATGTGATCGCATCAGCCTATCAGCAGCCAGCCAGCCAGCACTGTGTAATGGTCGAGCTATAAATAGCGGCCATTTTGGAATTCTTCATTTGCCTGCAGTTATTGAACAGAGGCAGACCGCTCTGTACTAGGGACAGGGACAGAGTTAGGGCCACAGAAACGATAATTGGGGACAGAGAAAAGTTACTTAGGGACAGAGAACCATTACTCAGGGACACAGACTTGTTAATGAGGGCCACAGAATCGTTATTTAGGGACAAAGAAACGCTAGTTAGGGCCACAGAATTCATAATCAGGGACAGACAGAATTGTTACTCAGTGCCAGAGAATTGTTACTTAGGGCCACAGAAACGTTATTAGGGCCACAGAATTGTTACTCAGGGACAGACAGAATTGTTACTGAGTGCCAGAGAATTGTTACTCAGGGACAGACAGAATTGTTACTGAGTGCCAGAGAATTGTTACTTAGGGCCACAGAAACTTTAATTAGGGCCACAGAATTTTTACTCAGGGACAGACAGAATTGTTACTCAGTGCCAGAGAATTGTTACTCAGGGACAGACAGAATTGTTACTGAGTGCCAGAGAATTGTTACTCAGGGCCACAGAAACTTTACTTAGGGCCACAGAATTTTTACTCAGGGACAGACAGAATTGTTACTGAGTGCCAGAGAATTGTTACTCAGGGACAGACAGAATTGTTACTGAGTGCCAGAGAATTGTTACTTAGGGCCACAGAAACTTTACTTAGGGCCACAGAATTGTTACTCGCACAGACACAGAATTGTTACTCGCACAGACACAGAATTGTTACTGAAGGCCACAGAACTGTTACTTAGGGCCACAGAATTGTTACTCGCACAGACACAGAATTGTTACTCACTCGCACAGACACAGAACTGTTACTGAGGGCCACAGAACTGTTACTTAGGGACAAAGAAACGCTAGTTAGTTAGGGCCACAGAATTGTTACTCAGGGACAGACAGAATTGTTACGAGTGCCAGAGAATTGTTACTCAGGGACAGACAGAATTGTTAATGAGTGCCAGAGAATTGTTACTTAGGGCCACAGAAACTTTAATTAGGGCCACAGAATTTTTACTCAGGGACAGACAGAATTGTTACTGAGTGCCAGAGAATTGTTACTCAGGGACAGACAGAATTGTTACCTGAGTGCCAGAGAATTGTTACTCAGGGACAGACAGAATTGTTACTGAGTGCCAGAGAATTGTTACTTAGGGCCACAGAAACTTTCATTAGGGCCACAGAATTTTTACTCAGGGACAGACAGAATTGTTACTGAGTGCCAGAGAATTGTTACTCAGGGACACAGACAGAATTGTTACTGAGTGCCAGAGAATTGTTACTTAGGGCCACAGAAACTTTAATTAGGCCCACAGAATTTTTTACTCAGGGACAGACAGAATTGTTACTGAGTGCCAGAGAATTGTTACTCAGGGACAGACAGAATTGTTACGAGTGCCAGAGAATTGTTACTCAGGGACAGACAGAATTGTTACTGAGTGCCAGAGAATTGTTACTTAGGGCCACAGAAACTTTTATTAGGGCCACAGAATTTTTACTCAGGGACAGACAGAATTGTTACTGAGTGCCAGAGAATTGTTACTCAGGGACAGACAGAATTGTTACGGAGTGCCAGAGAATTGTTACTCAGGGCACAGACAGAAACTTTACTTAGAAACTTTTACTTAGTGGCCAGAGAATTTTTACTCAGGGGGACAGACAGAATTGTTACTGAGTGCCAGAGAATTGTTACTCAGGGACAGACAGAATTGTTACGGAGTGCCAGAATTGTTACTCAGGGACAGACAGAATTGTTACTGAGTGCCAGAGAATTGTTACTTAGGGCCACAGAAACTTTAATTAGGGCCACAGAATTTTTACTCAGGGACAGACAGAATTGTTACTGAGTGCCAGAGAATTGTTACTCAGGGACAGACAGAATTGTTACCGAGTGCCAGAGAATTGTTACTCAGGGACAGAGGGCCAGAATTGTTACTCAGGGACAGAATTGTTTACAGAGAATTGTTACCAGACAGAATTGTTACTTACTTAGGGCCACAGAAACTTTATTAGGGCCACAGAATTTTTTACTCAGGGACAGACAGAATTGTTACTGAGTGCCAGAGAATTGTTACTCAGGGACAGACAGAATTGTTACGGAGTGCCAGAGAATTGTTACTCAGGGCCACAGAAACTTTACTTAGGGCCAGAGAATTTTTACTCAGGGGACAGACAGAATTGTTACTGAGTGTGCCAGAGAATTGTTACTCAGGGACAGACAGAATTGTTACGGAGTGCCAGAGAATTGTTACTCAGGGCCCCAGAAACTTTACTTAGGGCCACAGAATTTTTACTCAGGGACAGACAGAATTGTTACTGAGTGCCAGAGAATTGTTACTCAGGGACAGACAGAATTGTTACTGAGTGCCAGAGAATTGTTACTCAGGGACAGACAGAATTGTTACTGAGTGCCAGAGAATTGTTACTCAGGGCCACAGAAACTTTACTTAGGGCCACAGAATTTTTACTCAGGGACAGACAGAATTGTTACAGAGAATTGAGTGCCAGAGAATTGTTACTCAGGGACAGACAGAATTGTTACTGAGTGCCAGAGAATTGTTACTTAGGGCCACAGAAACTTGAATTAGGGCCACAGAATTTTTACTCAGGGACAGACAGAATTGTTACTGAGAGTGCCAGAGAATTGTTACTCAGGGACAGACAGAATTGTTACGAGTGCCAGAGAATTGTTACTCAGGGACAGACAGAATTGTTACTGAGTGCCAGAGAATTGTTACTTAGGGCCACAGAAACTTTAATTAGGGCCACAGAATTTTTACTCAGGGACAGACAGAATTGTTACTGAGTGCCAGAGAATTGTTACTCAGGGACAGACAGAATTGTTACGGAATTGTTACTCAGGGACAGACAGAATTGTTACTTAGGGCCAGAGAATTGTTACTCAGGGCCACAGAAACTTTACTTAGGGCCAGAGAATTTTTACTCAGGGACAGACAGAATTGTTACTGAGTGCCAGAGAATTGTTACTCAGGGACAGACAGAATTGTTACGGAGTGCCAGAGAGAATTGTTACTCAGGGCCACAGAAACTTTACTTAGGGCCACAGAATTTTTACTCAGGGACAGACAGAATTGTTACTGAGTGCCAGAGAATTGTTTGTTACTCAGGGACAGACAGAATTGTTACTGATGCCAGAGAATTGTTACTCAGGGACAGACAGAATTGTTACTGAGTGCCAGAGAATTGTTACTCAGGGCCACAGAAACTTTACTTAGGGCCACAGAATTTTTACTCAGGGACAGACAGAATTGTTACTGAGTGCCAGAGAATTGTTACTCAGGGACAGACAGAATTGTTACTGAGTGCCAGAGAATTGTTACTCAGGGCCACAGAAACTTGTTTAGGGCCACAGAATTTTTACTCAGGGACAGACAGAATTGTTACTGAGTGCCAGAGAATTGTTACTCAGGGACACAGACAGAATTGTTACGGAGTGCCAGAGAATTGTTACTCAGGGACAGAATTGTTACAGAATTGTTATTGTTGAGTGCCAGAGAATTGTTACTTAGGGCCACAGAAACTTTAATTAGGGCCACAGAATTTTTACTCAGGGACAGACAGAATTGTTACTGAGTGCCAGAGAATTGTTACTCAGGGACAGACAGAATTGTTACGAGTGAGCCAGAGAATTGTTACTCAGGGACAGACAGAATTGTTACTCAGGGACAGAAGTTACTGAGTGCCAGAATTGTTACTTACAGACAAGAGTGCCAGAGAATTGTTACTTAGGGCCACAGAAATTGTTTAATTAGGGCCACAGAATTTTTACTCAGGGACAGACAGAATTGTTACTGAGTGCCAGAGAATTGTTACTCAGGGACAGACAGAATTGTTACGGAGTGCCAGAGAATTGTTACTCAGGGCCACAGAAACTTTACTTAGGGCCAGAGAATTTTTACTCAGGGACAGACAGAATTGTTACTGAGTGCCAGAGAATTGTTACTCAGGGACAGACAGAATTGTTACGGAGTGGAGTGCCAGATAATTGTTACTCAGGCCCCAGAAACTTTACTTAGGGCCACAGAATTTTTACTCAGGGACAGACAGAATTGTTACTGAGTGCCAGAGAATTGTTACTCAGGGACAGACAGAATTGTTACTGAGTGCCAGAGAATTGTTACTTAGGGCCACAGAAACTTTACTTAGGGCCACAGAATTGTTTCTCGCACAGACACAGAATTGTTACTCGCACAGACACAGAATTGTTACTGAGGGCCACAGAACTGTTACTTTGGGGGGCCACAGAAACGTTAATCAGGGACACAGAATTGTTACTGAGGGCCACAGAACTGTTACTTAGGGCCACAGAATTGTTACTCGCACAGACACAGAATTGTTACTCAGGGACACAGAATTGTTACTCAGGGACACATAATCGTTTAATTAAAGAGTATGTCAGACAACATGCAGAGGAGTGGCAGAGGAGGCAATGTTTTAGGAGCGAGCAGACGTGGCAGCAGCAGAGGAAGGGGTCGAGGCAGCACTATTCGCAGCCAGAGGCCAGTGCTCCCGGTGTCATCCAGCGGTCGTGTCTCCACCGACAACCCTGCCGTCGTCGATTGGTTGGCTCGGTCGTCTTCCTCTTCCCAGGTCACCTCTGACACCTACAGCCAACGGTCGGTGGGTACGTCAGACACAACCGTTAGTTGGCATGGCCCGGGACCAAGCCCACTGAAATCACGTGTCCTCTACCTGCCCCTGTCCTTTGGTGTTCCCTCACCAAGCGAAGTATCGCATGCTGTGGGCTCAGCCCCACTGTACAGTGAGGAAGAGCTAACAGAGGGCGGTCAGGAACGGGGGGAGACATCCGCCTTTTCAGCAGCCAGGCGAAGAAGAAGTAGTGGTAGTGGCGAGGAGAGTGGCTCGGTAGCCGGTCTAGAGACAGGTCTGTCTCCTGACCCAGACGCAGCCGAGGGGGCTAGTAGTGAGGCGGAGACCCTACTTGATGATGAGGAGGTTGATCGCACTTGGCAGCCTCGTCGTCATCAGGCAATTTCTTCCGCATCATCAGGAGAAGAGGGTGGCAGCTTGGCAGCGAGCAAAACAGTCGGTGGGTTGCCCAGGAGACAGCAGCAGGGTCGCAGCAGTGTCAGTGGAGCCAAACGGCCACGGAGTAGAGCACCAGCTCCACTGCAGCCTACCACCACGGCCAGTAGTGGTGCCGGTGTGCACGGAGGAAGCAGCAGTCAGCCAGTGAGGAGTATCGGGGGCAAAGTTTCCTACTCGGCGGTGTGGCAATTTTTCGTCAAGCCGCCCGAGGAAGTAAACGTAGCCGTATGTCGACTATGTGGCCAGAAAGTCAAGCGTGGCCAGGGGGCCCATGTTGGGACTACAGCGTTGCGGCAGCATATGCAGCGTCGCCATTTGGTGGCCTGGGAAAACCGTGATGATAAAGATACGGCGGTTCTGCCCGCCCCAGCCCCCCGCTCCATCACCCGCTCCGTTACTTGCTCCGTCACCCGACGTCAATCGCCCTCCATCAGCCAGTCAAGGCTCCAACACCTCTGCTGAGGGGAGTTGTCGCTCGTTGGCATCTTCCGCTCGTTCAGATGCTCCTTCTCCTGCTACTCCTCTTCACGGATTCCGTCAGCAGTCTTTCTTGGAATCCGTTTCCAAGAGACAACAGTTTGCGAGCACGCACCCGACGGTGCAAAAGCTGAACGTCCTCCTGTCCAAGTTGCTGGTGCTGCAGTCCCTCCCTTTCCAAGTGGTGGACTCAGCACCTTTCAGAGAAATGATGGCTTGTGCCGCGCCGCGCGGTGGTGGAGAGTGCCAAGCCGTCATTTCTTCGCCAAAAAGGCAGTGCCAGCCCTGCATTCACATGTAGAAGACATGGTGGGCCAGTCTTTGAGCATGTCGGTCTCTGCCAAAGTGCACGGCAGCGCCGACGTGTGGAGCTGTAACTACGGTCAGGGACAGTACATGTCATTTACGGCCCACTGGGTGAACGTGGTGCCGTCACAGCCGCACCAGCAACTTGGACAGGTCACGCCGCTTTTGCCTCCACGTTTGCACGTCCTTGGTCCGGCAAAGATGTCCGCCTCTACCACCTCTTCTTCCGCCGTGTCCTCAGCCGCCACCCCCGTGCCAAGTCCCATTACCCGACCGGCATATCACATGTGCAGGGGGCGCAACGGTGTCACGCTGTTCTGCACCTGGTATGCCTTGGCGAACGTAGTCACACAGGGGAGGAACTTCTGAGTGTAATGAACAGAGAAATCGACAGATGGCTGTCTCCGCGCAAACTGAAAATCGGAACCATGTTGACCGACAACGGAAAGAACATGGTGTCTGCTCTGCGTCAAGGAAGGTTGTGCCATGCGCCATGCATGGCTCACGTGTTCAATCTGGTTGTCAAGCGGTTCTTAAAATCCACCATCCCACTGCAAGACATCCTTAAAATGTCACGTAAACTTTGCATGCATTTCAGCCATTCCTACACCGCAAAGCACACCCTCCTTGAGCTGCAGCGGCAGAACGGAATTCCACAGCATCGCCTGATCTGCGACGTTGCAACAAGGTGGATCAACCCTACACATGTTAGACCGCCTTTACGAACAGCGAAAGGCCATCACCGATTTCCTGATGTTACAAGCGGATAAAGGTACTCCCCTGTGTAACTTAGATGTCAGCCATTGGCAGCTCATGCGTGACACCTGCCGCTTGCTCAGGCCCTTTGAGGAGGCCACGCTATTCGTGAGTCGGCAGGACTATGGGATGATGAACGACGTCATTCCTCTGTTGCACGTCCTTGAACAAATGCTGTTAACAATGGCTGGTCAGGGGGTGCGGTAGACGTGGCGCACAGATCTCAACGCCACATGACCCCTGTGGGGGCAGGACAGGAAGAAGAGGAGGAGGTAGAGGAGGACATTTGTGCTCAGGAATTATTGAGTGAAATGGGTGGTTTTTCCACTCAGCGGACAGGAGTGGAGGAGCAGGAGCATCTGGTAGAGGAGGAGGAGGAGGAGAGAGGACCCAGACGCACCGTGGCAGTATGCTGTGGAGATGGAGGCAGGGAGTCCCTCGCATTCCTTGGCACAAATGGCCCATAGCATGCTCGGTTGCTTGCTTGCGTAGCGACAGCCGAATAATAACCATCAGACAGAGGGATGACTTTTGGCTGTCCACCTTGTTGGACCCTCGCTACCGTTCCAAAATGGTGGCCTTTTTCACACCTGCTGAGAGGGAGGCCAAAATAACGTACTATAAAAACCACCTATGTAGTCAGTTGGTCTCTGCCTTTGTGTGCGCCAACGTCCATCCTCAGACACTGTGGGCCCTGTGCGCTCGCGTTCCGCTGCCATGGCAGCAGGGGAGGGGTGGGGTGGTAGGAGCAGTGGCAGCTCCACCAGCAGCAGCTGCCTCAGTCTGCAGTCGATGATGAGTAGCTTTCTTCACCAGCGCAGTGAGGAAACTACTAACCAGCGCCGCAGCAGCAGCAGCAGCATCAGGTGACCTGGAGCAGGACCTCAAACAACAGGCTTGGGCCTACTTGGACAGCACCCTGCCAACCGAGGTAGACAATCCCCTTGACTACTGGGCAACGAAACTTGACCTTTGGCCCCAACTAGCTGAATTTGCCCTTGAAAGGCTGTCATGCCCAGCCAGTAGCGTGGCATCGGAGCGCGTGTTTAGTGCGGCAGGAGGTATTGTAACTCCGCGGAGGACACGACTGTCCACCCAAAGTGTGGAGAGACTCACGTTTGTGAAAATGAATCAGGCGTGGATTAGTCTGGATTTCAAACCACCAGTTCCTGACACAACTGACTAAATCCGCCATGAATCATGCCTCAAACATGTGCCACTTTGAGGTCTCCTCACACACTGCTGGTGTGTAGATTTTTTTTGACATAGGGTGCTGGCAGATTATGGGCCTCCTATAGCTGCTGCCAGGCCCCTAATCTGCCATAGGCCCCTATATACCGCTTCCTCATGCTGCTGCCAGGTCCAGAGTCTCTCATGGGTCCCTGTACGGCCTCCCATTGCTGCTGTCTCCATCGCCACACTCTGCCATGTGCCACTTTCAGGTCTCCTCACACACTGCTGGTGTGTGTGAATTTTTTGACATAGGGTGCTGGCAGATTATGGGCCTCCCATTGCTGCTGCCAGGCCCCTAATCTGCCATAGGCCCCCTATATACCGCCTCCTCATGCTGCTGCCAGGTCCAGAGTCTGTCATGGGTCCCTGTACGGCCTCCCATTGCTGCTGTCTCCATCGCCACACTCTGCCATGTGCCACTTTCAGGTCTCCTCACACTGCTGGTGTGTAGAATTTTTTGACATAGGGTGCTGGCAGATTATGGGCCTCCCATAGCTGCTGCCAGGCCCCTAATCTGCCATAGGCCCCTATATACCGCCTCCTCATGCTGCTGCCAGGTCCAGAGTCTGTCATGGGTCCCTGTACGGCCTCCCATCTGCTGTCTCCATCGCCACACTCTGCCATGTGCCACTTTCAGGTCTCTCCTCACACACTGCTGGTGTGTAGAATTTTTTGACATAGGGTGCTGGCAGATTATGGGCCTCCCATAGCTGCTGCCAGGCCCCTAATCTGCCATAGGCCCCTATATACCGCCTCCTCATGCTGCTGCCAGGTCCAGAGTCTGTCATGGGTCCCTGTACGGCCTCCCATTGCTGCTGTCTCCATCGCCACACTCTGCCATGTGCCACTTTCAGGTCTCCTCACACACTGCTGGTGTGTAGAATTTTTTGACATAGGGTGCTGGCAGATTAAGGGGCCTCCCATAGCTGCTGCCAGGCCCCTAATCTGCCATAGGCCCCTATATACCGCCTCCTCATGCTGCTGCCAGGTCCAGAGTCTGTCATGGGTCCCTGTACGGCCTCCCATTGCTGCTGTCTCCATCGCCACACTCTGCCATGTGCCACTTTCAGGTCTCCTCACACACACTGCTGGTGTGTAGAATTTTTTGACATAGGGTGCTGGCAGATTATGGGCCTCCCATAGCTGCTGCCAGGCCCCTAATCTGCCATAGGCCCCTATATACCGCCTCCTCATGCTGCTGCCAGGTCCAGAGTCTCTCATGGGTCCCTGTACGGCCTCCCATTGCTGCTGCTGTCTCATCGCCACACTCTGCCATGTGCCACTTTCAGGTCTCCTCACACACTGCTGGTGTGTAGAATTTTTTGACATAGGGTGCTGGCAGATTAAGGGCCTCCCATAGCTGCTGCCAGGCCCCTAATCTGCCATAGGCCCCTATATACCGCTCCTCATGCTGCTGCCAGGTCCAGAGTCTGTCATGGGTCCCTGTACGGCCTCCCATTGCTGCTGTCATCGCCACACTCTGCCATGTGCCACTTTCAGGTCTCCTCACACACTGCTGGTGTGTAGAATTTTTTGACATAGGGTGCTGGCAGATTATGGGCCTCCCATGCTGCTGCCAGGCCCCTAATCTGCCATGGCCCCCTATATACCGCTCCTCCTCATGCTGCTGCCAGGTCCAGAGTCTGTCATGGGTCCCTGTACGGCCTCCCATTGCTGCTGTCTCCATCGCCACACTCTGCCATGTGCCACTTTCAGGTCTCCTCACACACTGCTGGTGTGTAGAATTTTTTTGACATAGGGTGCTGGCAGATTATGGGCCTCCCATAGCTGCTGCCAGGCCCCTAATCTGCCATAGGCCCCTATATACCGCCTCCTCATGCTGCTGCCAGGTCCAGAGTCTGTCATGGGTCCCTGTACGGCCTCCCATTGCTGCTGTCTCCATCGCCACACTCTGCCATGTGCCACTTTCAGGTCTCCTCACACTGCTGGTGTGTAGAATTTTTTGACATAGGGTGCTGGCAGATTATGGGCCTCCCATAGCTGCTGCCAGGCCCCTAATCTGCCATAGGCCCCTATATACCGCCTCTCTCATGCTGCTGCCAGGTCCAGAGTCTGTCATGGGTCATGGGTCCCTGTACGGCCTCCCATTGCTGCTGTCTCCATCGCCACACTCTGCCATGTGCCACTTTCAGGTCTCCTCACACACTGCTGGTGTGTAGAATTTTTTGACATAGGGTGCTGGCAGATTATGGGCCTCCCATAGCTGCTGCCAGGCCCCTAATCTGCCATAGGCCCCTATATACCGCCTCCTCATGCTGCTGCCAGGTCCAGAGTCTGTCATGGGTCCCTGTACGGCCTCCCATTGCTGCTGTCTCCATCGCCACACTCTGCCATGTGCCACTTTCAGGTCTCCTCACACACTGCTGGTGTGTAGAATTTTTTGACATAGGGTGCTGGCAGATTTAGGGCCTCCCATAGCTGCTGCCAGGCCCCTAATCTGCCATAGGCCCCTATATACCGCCTCCTCATGCTGCTGCCAGGTCCAGAGTCTGTCATGGGTCCCTGTACGGCCTCCCATTGCTGCTGTCTCCATCGCCCACACTCTGCCATGTGCCACTTTCAGGTCTCCTCACACACTGCTGGTGTGTAGAATTTTTTGACATAGGGTGCTGGCAGATTATGGGCCTCCCAGCTGCTGCTGCCAGGCCCCTAATCTGCCATAGGCCCCTATATACCGCCTCCTCATGCTGCTGCCAGGTCCAGAGTCTGTCATGGGTCCCTGTACGGCCTCCCATTGCTGCTGTCTCCATCGCCACACTCTGCCATGTGCCACTTTCAGGTCTCCTCACACACTGCTGGTGTGTAGAATTTTTTGACATAGGGTGCTGGCAGATTATGGGCCTCCCATAGCTGCTGCCAGGCCCCTAATCTGCCATAGGCCCCTATATACCGCCTCCTCATGCTGCTGCCAGGTCCAGAGTCTGTCATGGGTCCCTGTACGGCCTCCCATTGCTGCTGTCTCCATCGCCACACTCTGCCATGTGCCACTTTCAGGTCTCTCTCACACTGCTGGTGTGTTGAATTTTTTGACATAGGGGCTGGCAGATTATGGGCCTCCCATAGCTGCTGCCAGGCCCCTAATCTGCCATAGGCCCCTATATACCGCCTCCTCATGCTGCTGCCAGGTCCAGAGTCTGTCATGGGTCCCTGTACGGCCTCCCATTGCTGCTGTCTCCATCGCCACACTCTGCCATGTGCCACTTTCAGGTCTCCCTCACACTGCTGGTGTGTAGAATTTTTTGACATAGGGTGCTGGCAGATTACGGGGCCTCCCATAGCTGCTGCCAGGCCCCTAATCTGCCATAGGCCCCTATATACCGCCTCCTCATGCTGCTGCCAGGTCCAGAGTCTGTCATGGGTCCCTGTACGGCCTCCCATTGCTGCTGTCTCCATCGCCACACTCTGCCATGTGCCACTTTCAGGTCTCCTCACACTGCTGGTGTGTAGAATTTTTTGACATAGGGTGCTGGCAGATTATGGGCCTCCCATAGCTGCTGCCAGGCCCCTAATCTGCCATAGGCCCCTATATACCGCCTCCTGCTGCTGCTGCTGCCAGGTCCAGAGTCTGTCATGGGTCCCTGTACGGCCTCCCATTGCTGCTGTCTCCATCGCCACACTCTGCCATGTGCCACTTTCAGGTCTCCTCACACACTGCTGGTGTGTTGAATTTTTTGACATAGGGTGCTGGCAGATTATGGGCCTCCCATAGCTGCTGCCAGGCCCCTAATCTGCCATAGGCCCCTATATAGGCCTCCTATATGCCAGGTCCAGAGTCTCTCATGGGTCCCTGTAGGTCCATTGCTGCTGTCTCATCACTCTGCCATGTGCCACTTTCAGGTCTCCTCACACTGCTGGTGTGTAGAATTTTTTTGACATAGGGTGCTGGCAGATTATGGGCCTCCTATAGCTGCTGCCAGGCCCCTAATCTGCCATAGGCCCCTATATACCGCCCTCCTCATGCTGCTGCCAGGTCCAGAGTCTGTCATGGGTCCCTGTACGGCCTCCCATTGCTGCTGTCTCCATCGCCACACTCTGCCATGTGCCACTTTCAGGTCTCTCACACACTGCTGTGTGTGTATAATTTTTTGACATAGGGTGCTGGCAGATTACGGGCCTCCCATAGCTGCTGCCAGGCCCCTAATCTGCCATGGGCCCCTATACCGACTCCTCATGCTGTGACGTTGCAACAAGGTGGAATTCAACCCTACATATGTTAGACCGCCTTTACGAACAGCAAAAGGCCATCACAGATTTCCTGATGTTAAAAGCGGATAAAGGTATTCCCTGTGTAACTTAGATGTCAGCCATTGGCAGCTCATGCGTGACACCTGCGCTTGCTCAGGCCCTTTGAGGAGGCCACGCTATTCGTGAGTCGGCAGGACTATGGGGATGAACGACGTCATTCCTCTGTTGCACGTCCTGGAACAAATGCTGTTAACAATGGCTGGTCAGGGTGCGGTAGACGTGGCGCACAGATCTCAACGCCACATGACCCCTGTGGGGGCAGACAGGAAGAAGAGGAGGAGGTAGAGGAGGACATTGGTGCTCAGGAATTATTGAGTGAAATGGGTGGTTTTTCCACTCAGCGGACAGGAGTGGAGGAGCAGGAGCATCTGGTAGAGGAGGAGGAGGAGGAGGAGACAGAGGACCCAGACGCACCGTGGCAGTATGCTGTGGAGATGGAGGCAGGGAGTCCCTCGCATTCCTTGGCACAAATGGCCCATAGCATGCTCGGTTGCTTGCGTAGCGACAGCCGAATAATAACCATCAGACAGAGGGATGACTTTTGGCTGTCCACCTTGTTGGACCCTCGCTACCGTTCCAAAAATGGTGGCCTTTTTCACACCTGCTGAGAGGGAGGCCAAAATAACGTACTATAAAAACCACCTATGTAGTCAGCTGGTCTCTGCCTGTCTGCGCCAACGTCCATCCTCAGACACTGTGGGGCCCTGTGCGCTCGCTCGCGTTCCGCTGCCTGGCAGCAGGGGAGGGGTGGGGGTGGTAGGAGCAGTGGCAGCTCCACCAGCAGCGGCTGCCTCAGTCTGCAGTCGATGATGAGTAGCTTTCTTCACCAGCGCAGTGAGGAAACTACTAACCAGCCGCAGCAGCAGCAGCAGCAGCAGCATCAGGTGGGACCTGGAGCAGGACCTCAAACAACAGGCTTAGGCCTACTTGGACAGCACCCTGCCAACCGAGGTAGACAATCCCCTTGACTACTGGGCAACGAAACTTGACCTTTGGCCCCAACTAGCTGAATTTGCCCTTGAAAGGCTGTCATGCCCGGCCAGTAGCGTGGCATCGGAGCGGAGCGCGTGTTTAGTGCGGCAGGAGGTATTGCAACTCCGCGGAGGACACGACTGTCCACCCAAAGTGTGGAGAGACTGACGTTTGTGAAAATGAATCAGGCGTGGATTAGTCTGGATTTCAAACCACCAGTTCCTGACACAACTGACTAAATCCGCCATGAATCATGCCCCAAACATGTGCCACTTTCAGGTCTCCTCACACTGCTGGTGTGTGTTCCATTTTTTGTCATAGGGTGCTGGCAGATTACGGGCCTCCCATAGCTGCTGCCAGGCCCCTAATCTGCCATGGGCCCCTATACCGCCTCCTCATGCTGCTGCCAAGTCCAGAGTCTCTCATGGGTCCCTGTACGGCCTCCCATTGCTGCTGTCTCCATCGCCACACTCTGCCATGTGCCACTTTCAGGTCTCCTCACACTGCTGGTGTATTCCATTTTTTGTCATAGGGTGTGCTGGCAGATTACGGGCCTCCCATAGCTGCTGCCAGGCCCCTAATCTGCCATGGGCCCCTATACCGCCTCCTCATGCTGCTGCCAGGTCCAGAGTGTGTCATGGGTCCCTGTACGGCCTCCCATTGCTGCTGTCTCCATCGCCACACTCTGCCATGTGCCACTTTCAGGTCTCCTCACACTGCTGGTGGGTTCCATTTTTTGTCATAGGGTGCTGGCAGATTACGGGCCTCCCATAGCTGCTGCCAGGCCCCTAATCTGCCATGGGCCCCCGTACCGACTCCTCATGCTGCTGCCAGGCCCGTAATCTGTCATGGGCCCCTGTTGTCGCTTGTTGGCATATTCCGCTCGTTCAGATGCTCCTTCTCCTGCTACTCCTCTTCACGGATTCCGTCAGCAGTCTTTCTTGGAATCCGTTTCCAAGAGACAACAGTTTGCGAGCACGCACCAGACGGTGCAGAAACTGAACGTCCTCCTGTCCAAGTTGCTGCTGCCAGGCTTGTAATCTGTCATGCGCCCCTGTACCGCCTCCTCATGCTGCTGCCAGGTCCAGAGTGTGTCATGGGCCCCCGTACCGACTCCAAATGCTGCTGCCAGGCCCGTAATCTGTCATGGGCCCCTGTACCGCCCTCCCCATGCTGCTGCCAGGTCCAGATTGTGTCATGGGTCCCGTACGGCCTCCCATTGCTGCTGCCAGGCCTGTAATCTGCCATGGGCCCCCCTACCGACTCCTCATGCTGCTGCCAGGCCCGTAATCTGCCATGGGCCCCTGTACCGCCTCCTCATGCTGCTGCCAGGTCCAGAGTGTGTCATGGGTCCCTGTACGGCCTCCCATTGCTGCTGTCTCTATCGCCACACTCTGCCATGTGCCACTTTCAGGTCTCCTCACACTGCTGGTGGTTTCCATTTTTGTCATAGGGTGCTGCATGGCCTCCCATTGCTGCTGCCTCCACCGCCACACTGTGGCTCCACACTCTGGTTTTGGCCCCGTGACTGGCCAAATGAGTGAAGTGTGCGGTGATTCTAAGATCGACGGCACTCATCTGCATGTCATACTGCCTGACAGTATTATTTCTCTTCCCCAGCAGACTCCAAGGGCATTTAAATTAAAGGTACAGTGTTCAGCACTAATATTAAGTCTCTCTGAAGCCTAGAAACACCCTTTTTTAAGTTAAATTCACAGCGAATATATTCGACTCGAATCAAATTTTTTCTACGAATTCGCCGAATCAGTCGAATCGAATTTTTGAATACTTCGCTCATCTCTAGCTATAACTTTCACGCAAACCAATTAATATATAGTTATTGTTTTTTTTTTACCAGAGACATGTAGAAGAAAACATTTTGGCCTAAATTTATGAAGAAATGTTATTTTTTTTAATTTTTTTAATTGGAAATATTTTATAATAGAAAATTATTTAATTTTACAAAATTATTGGTCTTTTTTCGTTTATATAACAGAAACAAAAAAAACCCAGTGGTGATCAAATATCACCAAAATAAAGCTCTATTTGTGTAAAAAAATGATATAAATTTAATTTGCATACAGTATTGCATGACCAAGCTATTGCCAGTTAAAGTAGAACAGTGCAGAAGAGCAAAAAAGGGCCTGATCATGAAGGGGGTAAAATCTTTCAGAGCTTAGGTGGCTAACATGCATAACGTGAATTTTATCCAACTGAAAATGTTCATGTGATATTATTGCAACAGTAATCCATTGTTTGATGTATGATTATGTTTCATTTATCTGGACTATGGTACATTTTATGAAGGTAGTTGGCAATATGGTAAGCCATCACCACAGTGCAAAGTTAAATGCAATGTCTGATGTTACAATACCTGCTTATATGCTATTCTGTACCCAACAGTTCTGCTTATCATAAACAATACAGTTTGGAACTGTTGTGCAGCAGGGTTAGTATGTCTAGAAGAACTGAATTGGATCAATCTAAAACTAATATTAATATTGTGCTCCCATAGCAAGGGTTTCCTGGCATGCAGCATATATGCCCCAACAGTGTTCCCACACCACAGTGCAGTCCCCACATACTCCTCTTTAGAGGATGTATAAAATACCTCTCACTGCATATATACTACTACTATATTACTACCTGAGGAAGCCAGAGATGTTACTATCTCCAAATATTTGTCACTCTTCTTATGGATCCACTGGTACCTCTAAGCACACTTTCCAATACTGCAAATGGTCCAAGAAGACTGAGGGAACTTCGGGCATGAGCAAACTGAAGAGTTTCCTCCCAAATAGGACTTCCTCAGAGAGCCAAGGCCTGTAAAGCAGTTCTGTTTCTCTGTCTGATTACAATGTAGATTATTAAACATATTTAATAGAACTATATATTGCATAAAACACTAGACATACATTAGAGTGTGTTCACAGATATTGTACTGTAGAAATAAGGGCTAGATAGCACAAAATTATAATTTTCACTTAAGACTTTTCTGGTGGAATAAGGGTTCTAGCACAAAATTATAATTACTTAAGACTTTTCTGGTGGAAGAAGAGTTCTGAAATCAATTTAAAAAATGCAAGAGGAGCCTCTGGGAAGAGAGGAAGAACTGGGAGGAGAGTTGGGCTTTAAAGTAAATCTATCATTTTCCTCTAAGCTCCAACTGGTTCTCACAGTTGTTTTTTAATATATCCAAATATGTTTGCTACTAAAAACAATTTTCCAAAATGTTTTTTATTCTTTATGTTCAACTTTAGATAGGGTAGGTATGGATTGTTTTCATGGGTTAAAGGAACAAAAGGTGCTGCATAAGGAGTTCCGATCTTTGTTATGTCAAAATTAAAACTCCTTTTTCTAATATCAGACTTAAAATACTGAGATGGGGGATAATTAATATGAGCTAGTTTTTATATGCATTCAATAGCAAGTCCTTGTGGCAAGAAGATTTTATTTGAGATGAGAATTTCATGCTATTTATCGATTTAACTATATCTAGATGATTTGGAAAAGCCATCGGTATAATAGAATTGTTTCTCCTTCCAGGAGAGAGAAAACATGTACTAAAATATTATTCTTTTAGAGTTGTTTTCTGTGTTGTTTCCAAATGATGCCTTGGGGGTCTTTATGTTTATAACAAACAAATTCTAATTCAGTCAGATAACAAGGGTGACAGAAATGCTTATCTTAGAGGTCTCATTTTGTTATTAGTTGTGCTATTTTGTACTTAAATGTTTAAAATGTAATATATAAAATAAAATATAGTCTAGGAATAGTAATAATGATGAGATTCTCTGTATAATTCTCTGTGTTGTTCATAGATGGAATGTTTCTGGGAGTTAATTTCAGGATCAGGCTAGAAGGCAATGTTTTGTCCTGACTTTGTGGAACTGGATTTTAGCTTAGTTTTGACTGCTATGGAAGATTACGTTGATCCTAGTAAAATGACAGAATATGTATTCTCATAGTGAAACTTAAGGAACTCAAATTTGAAGCTAAATGTTCTCCCCAGTTATCAGTGCTGTGCCAAAGGTGATGCTCCAGGCTCATATTTAATTGTTCTTAGTTTTAAATAGAGCAGAAAATGTTGTGCACCCTCCTCCAGAACCATGCCAGGCCACATACCCTCAACATTGGCTGTGTACTTTGCCAGAGCCCCTCTCCCCTCAGCAAGACACCCTGTTCCCATGCTGATGGGGACAAGGTCTTTATCATCACATTCCTGACCCAGTGGATGTAGGAATATGTAAGGAAGACTTATCAGAATCCGGAATCTGCTTTAGAGCATGGGGCCCCCCAGATATTTGCCCTTGAGTACATGGTACCTTTTCTTACACATTAAAAAATAAATGCAAAGAGTTAATAAACACACAGACATCATAGTAAAAACTCTTTAATTTGATTAAATAAATAAATATTGGCCCTTGAATAAAGCCCCGATTACATCATCTAGCAATCTAGATTCATCATCAGTCATGATGAGTGTTGCCCATAATGACTCACACTACCACACTCCTCTCCCACAGCTCCTCTAGTCAGAAATGCCATGGCTGGCTGCTATATATCAATGAACTGACTGGGCATGCCATATAATGCCATTGACCACATATGGTCATGACTACATTTGGTTGATGACATCACTTTGGATGCCTTGGCCACTTTTTTTACAAAACGATTCAGAATGGGAAAGATCAGGCATTTAGCGCTATAATTTTTTTTTTTTTAATTGTGCTTTTCCTGGAGTATATCCTACAGGTCTGCTACTTTACATACACCTTTAACCACTTAAGGTCCACCCTATAGCAGATATACTGCTATAGGGCGGCACCTGTGTGCACCACCATTCGCTGCCATGGATGAAAATCACCGAGTCCCGGACGGTAATTACCCACCGCCGCCCGGTGATTATAGAGCATCTCTGATGGTGAGGAAAATTGTTTAGTTTACAAACAATCTTCCTCCCTGTCAGCTCGACCACACAACTCCGGATGGCTGTGCACAGTACAGCCATCCCAATCAGTGTGCTTTTGTGCTTACAGTGAAAAACACCCCCCCCCCCCAGTAAAGCACACACAGCACACAGTTACCCTTTAATTACCCCTCACATTAACCCCTTCCTGCCCAGTGCCATTAGTACAGTGTCAGTGGGGTTTTTTTTTAGCACTGATCACTATATTGGTGTCACTGGAGATGTCAGTGACACCAAGTTAGTTCCCCTCAGTGTCATAATGTGTGCCGCAGTCCCGTTAAAAGTCGCTGATCGCCGCCATTAATAGTAGGAAAAAAAATCCCATTATCTATACCGCCATTTGTAAATACTATAACTTTCATGTAAACCAATTAATTTACACGTATTGGGATTTTTTTTTTCAGCAAAGACATGTCGCAGAATACATTTTGGCCTAAATTTATGCCGAAATTTGATTTTTTAAATTTTTTTACTGGACATGTTTAATAGCAAAATGTCCAAAATATTGTTTTTTTTCTCAAAATTGTCGGTCTTTTTTTGCTTATAAAGCAAAAAAT